CCTTTTTGCTGCCTGGTTTGCTGGAAGGCCGTCTGCTGGTTTCTTTGTTGCCGTGATCAGTCTCTGCGCGATGCTGTTGTGCCCCTTGTGATGGCGCTCAGGTGCGTCTTGCAGTGGTTAATGACGTGCGGCAGGGTTTTGTCGTGTTGTCCATATCTTCTGCAACGCTTGTCGCCGCTGCCGAATCGACGATTTCCGTTCAGTGGTAGAACGTTGAGCCGCGCTCGATGAATGAATTTCTACTCGGCGAATCTGGTGAAGTTTCTCTGCCTGATGAAGTGGTTTGATGCTGAGTTCTGCGGCGTCACCTCGAACACTTCTCCCTGGTCCGGTTTTTTATCTAGTTTCCGCTTGTAGAAACGGCGTGGTGCTTCTCGGAGGCTCGACTCTGCATTCTCCCTGCTCACTGGGGCGTCGTCGACGGTTAGCTCGCCCAATCCCAGCTGCAGGTTGATATTGGGTTTCAGTCGCCGCACTGCCGTCCTGAGCCTCGACCACGTCGTCGTAATGTCGTACACTGGTTTTCCAAGATCGCCACATGAAGTTTACAAAGCCGACGATCTCCACCGTGCTTGGCTCGTGTCCTGCTCGTTTCTTTACGACGTCTGCTAGCGCGGCTCGGCTAAGATCTGCTATGGTCTGGTCCTTCGATGTTAGCTGTTGGTGGGCGTGTACAACTTGTCCTATATCTGCTAACACCGCTGCTGGTAGGATGTTGAAGCCACCTTTCTTGCAACTTAGATATAGGACCTCGGCGCTGGCTCTCTGCAGCAAGTGGACCCATTTCTTGATGCTCCTCTTCATCTGCTTGTCGAAACTGTGCAGGATTGCCTAGGTCACGTTCCCATTCTTCAGATAAAATTCCACCTGCAGCACGATGAAGGTGTTGACTGCGTCGATTTTCTGCCATGGCGCCAGCAGCGAGTCGTCGACCTTGAATAGGTGCTGATGCATCTGCTCTAGTACGTCTTCTCCTGACTAAAACGTGGAAAATCCGGTCAAGACGCCGAACTGCTGGTACCACTCCTCCTGCGAAAGTGCTCTTAGGTTCTCTGCTCCCAGCTTGAAGATCGTTCCGATAGCGCTGCGTCGTCGTCCATCCACGTGCAGCGTCGCGCACTTCCTGGCGTTGAAGTACGGCCCAAACCAGGCGGCGATTGTCTCCGTCGTGTTCAGCAGTCGTTGTAGTCCCTCTCTGTCGGTTCTGATGATGGTCAGGTCGTCAGCATACGCCAGGACGTTGAACTTCTGTCCCTCCAGTTCGTAGTAGTCGGCTGTCACGGCCGCGCGTGTGGCAGCGGTTCCAGCGTAATGTTGAACACGATCAGGGAGAGAAAGCACTGCCTGTTTTACACCAGCTCGAACGGAGATCTCGTCGGTTACTCCGTGCTCGCTGCGTACTCTTGTACACGATCCCCTGTATAGCCTGCGAATTACGGCGATGGAGTCGGCGTGGAGACCTGTCCATTCAAGGGCGTTGGATATCGCGCCGAATGCGTTTCTCAGGTTTAACCATGCTATGGCGGCTTATTTCTGCTTCCTCCTTGCGTTCTGGATAATTGACTACAGCGTGAAATTGTGCTTTGCCCATCAGTCGTACTGCATGAAGCCCTTCTGCGACGGTAAGATGCGGTCGTTCTTGATGCACCACTTGGAGAATCTGCTCGAGATCACCGATGCATAGAGTGTTTTCCCAGTGTTTTTGACAGCGCTATCGGTCTCCAGTTGTTTATGTTTCTGGTGTCTCCGTTTTTTGGGATGAGGATGGTGCTAGATTCGTCCCAGTTCCTCGGCACGTGCTGTAGCTCCCGGAATGGGTTGAAAACAGCAGTACAGATGTGTTCTCCACGATCGTACCGGTTTCATACGCCGTAGCGAAGTCCATCTGGTCCCAGTGCCCTGTTCTTGCTCTGCTGTAGCCGCTGCCATACTTCCTCCGGGGTGAACTTGGCGCTGAGTGGATCGTTCATTGCGACCGGTGCAGGTGTTGGTACCTCAGCTGGGCTTTCTGTAACAGCATGTTTCTTCTCCTTGTAAAGTTCTATAAAGTGGTCCTGTATAGTCCGCGTTGGAATCCTGCAGCCTCTGCCTCCATGTTCCTCTGTGATGTCTCTGTAGGCTCTCTTTTTGTCGCTCCGGTACAGCTTCTGGATGCGTGTTGCCCTTGTGACGTCCTGCTCGGCATTCGTTGATCTCGGCCTGCGGTTGAAGTTATTCCTCTTTTTGGAGCCCGTTCCGGCGGTCTTCTGGTCTTCTGGTTGCAGTCTGCTTACGAGCGCTGATATTTCTCGCTCCAGATTCTTGCTACAGGTGACCACTTGCAGCCTGAGGACGAACTCCTCCTGTAGTTTGCTCAGTGTCGGCAATTCCTCTTGTAGTAGAGCCGCTGCTGCCGCCTCCGCTGCTTCTGCTGCTGCTACTGCCTCAGTTGGTGCTACGGCCTCAGCTGCTGCTACGGCCTTTGCTGCTGCTACTGCCTCCACTGCTGCTGGCAACTCCTCACGCGTTCTCTGGATTTGGATCCTCCACACGCGTGCTGGAGCGGCATCTGTAGTTCTGCTTGCCGGCCGGTTGCTGCTGCACTCCGTTGATCCTTTTATGTGTGCTGTTGCACCCTTCAGTGTAGTGCGGACATCTCCGCGGTGGCTGCAACGAAACTTCATCATCATACCTCGGTTGTGCTCCCTCCTTAGATGATTGAACAGGTCATTTCCGTCTTGTACTGCCGCGGTACAGGTGGACAGGTCTCGCAGTTGAACGGCGGCACGAGCGGTACATCCAGCACAGTATAGGTCGTCCCGGTCTCCTCCAAACTTCTTTGTCCAGCAGGTGAACATTCTCCAGCTTCCGCGGCGTCCATTGTGTGTTCCTACTCGTTCTATCCCGGGGTGAGCATACTAGTCGATTCTCAATCGCATGGTGAGCGTTCTCGGCATTCTTCTATCCTTCGGTGAGCGTAACCGGTGGTCCAAAGGAGACGGTCTAGTGCACAGGTTCAGGTCATGTCCAGGGACCCGTCTCCTTCTCAGTTATATATACTAGCTGACCCGGCAAACGTTGTTTTGCCATAAAAAATATTTTGCCGCTTCTCAGAAGTTCTTGTAATTTGAAAATGGATTAAAATTTGAATGTGAGAGATTAATACTATTGATCAAAATTTTCTTAAAATTTATATTAAGGGGTTAGGGGTACTTGGAATTTTTGAAAAATCGATTTTTATTTTTTTGCATTTTCATTAAGTGTAATATCTTGAAAATGTTCTCTGAAAATTTCAAGTTGATCCGATGATTACTTTTTGAGTTATTGGACCCTTACCAGCGCGTTGACGCAAGTGGAGAGCTCGATTCTTATACTCAAGATTATTCTCCCTCACCTCCTGATGTTTTAAAAGCTTTTAAACCGATTTACGATGATTTCAGCAATGATAATTTACTTTCAAGTTGTGTAGTTCAAGATTGAATCCATAATCAGGAAAAATTAAAAGCTTAAACCAACTAGTGTAAAAAATATGCCTAAAAACCGTGAATACTAGTTGTACTATCGCACAAATTGTTGAATACATATACACAATTGTTACTATTGATTATGGGTATCCTAGGACCTAATTGTGGGTATAATTCCCTATCGTATGCTGAAAAATTGGATGCTGCACTTATGAAAGTGGCAGATCAGCGCGTCCACGAGACGACACGGGAGGGCAGAATGCTTCGTAGGCAACACCAAATGAAAATTTTGGAAACTTCCACAATGGCTGAAGAACTGTTATATGGCCCAGGAATAGATGACACGGTGTAAATGAATTAATAATTCGTATTTCTGTACGTAAATCCAATGTAAAACTTTGAACGCGTTTTTCTCAAAACTAAGTTTTTTGAATCGGTGACCACTGTAACTCAAAAACCGCTTAGTAGATTTTAATGAAATTCATACAGCTTTTATAATACATAATAAACTCGTGCCTGATCGAAGGATTTTTATTTTTTCAAAAATTTGAATTTTTTAAGACCAATTAACTGTTGATTTTTTACCCAAAAATCAAGATTTTTTCTTTCTGATGCTGCCATTTTGTTAATTTTTGCAAAAAAAGGAAAACCTTCGATCCGGCCCGGGATTAACTATTCATAAAACTATTTTATTTAATTGATTGATTTTAGATGAATCTCCAAGGAGATATGATGGTCACCGCCAGGACCGTTTTTCGAAACAGGGTCAACAAAAACAGCTATAACTTTGAGAAAATTGAGTTTTTTTTTCTGAAATTTTTGTTACATCAAGTCAAAACATTGTATAATAATGCTGTATTAATATTTTTGTAGAAAAACATCGTTTAATAACAAAAAAAAATACTGAAAACACTCATTTTTTCGTGCCTGCAAGTACCCCTAACCCCTTAATGAATTAAAAAAAAATTAGAATAAATATACAAAATTTATAATAAATAATCAAGTGATAATTTTACTTATAAACGTATTTAAGTTTGTTGTGAGGCTTATTAAGTACCTTTAACGACTGAAATAACTAATTTGAATTATTATTATTCAAAATACACTTTTAATTAATTCTCATTATAATTACATATATAACATTCTAAGCAAATTTGCTATTATATAAAACACCACTTATACTACTTTCAATATACATATATTTAATGAACACCATTGTTCAAACATAAAATTATGTGCATAATATTACCCTAAAAATAAATTTGTAAATATATAAAAATATACACTTTCTTATAAATAATAACATTCATTCATTTAATAAACATATACATTCATTACAAATAATATATCACTTTACATTCATTATTCTAATTTCAATTATTTACACATTACAAATCTAACATTACCAACAATTAATGTTTTTATAAATCTAATCTAAAACTAATTGATGTACAATATTTTTGACCAAATCCTCTTTGGCCAACACAAATAAATTTTTTGGTGATCCCACACGTGAGCATGCCACATATAATTGTCCGTGGGAAAAGCATTGATTCTCTAAATCGAGTTCACAAACAGACATTGCTTGTCCCTGAGCCTTGTCGATTGTCCTTGCAAATGCCAAAATTTCCAATACAATTGTAATCTTTTGAATGGTATTGTTAAATCTGAGGGTATCATAGGAATCCGTGGCAAAAGAACCACTTCTCCTTTAAACTTTCCTGTCAGAATTGTTGCTTCTATTATATTGCCCGTTATCCTCTTTATGACCAAACGTGTACCGTTACATAACTTCGGCGGATTCAAATTACGCATCAGAATACTTGGTGAACCGATCTTTAACCGTAGATCATGTGGAGGCATCTCAGGTACATCTATTGAATATAAAAACTCCGTTGGATAGTTCACACTTTCATTATCATCCACAACTGTGTCTATCGATTTAAAAGACATGTCATCGCCAGGTATTAACTGTTGTATTTTGAAATTAATGTCGTCTACGTCCATATTCCTTGCTGCTAATATTGCCCTTCCACTCAGCCAGTCATGATTCAACTAGCTGTAAGTGGAATTCTGTCTTGAGGCAATTATGGCATCGTGCCTTAAGGCAAATTGCTGGAACTTCCCGTACCGTAACGAAATGTTTGAGGAATACTGAATGTTTTCAAATAGATTATTATAAAGATTGTAACATTGTCTAATATTTATAAGAATATATATAAACTGAATTGCAGAGTTGAAATTATTTGTAAAGTATATTAGAACTATAGTCAGAATTAAAAAAAAAAAAAAAAAAGAAATGGAGCAAAATTTTTTTTCCACAATCAATTATTTTGTTAAGACAAGCAGAAAGTTCTTTGAATCATTTAAATCGGACGCTTAGTTCTCTCAAAAATTGCCATTTTTTACATATTTAGCTCCATATCTTCAAAATGGCTGGGCCTGCCTTTGCCAAAAACTAATAAACACTTCTCCCAATCATTACTAATTGAATGTTTTTTAGATCATTCAAATCGGATACTCCGTTCACTCAAAAATTCGATTTCTATTTTCTGCACTCTTTGCTACGTATCCCCGAAACGGCTGGACCTGCCTTTGCCAAAAACTAATCAGCTCTTTTCCCTATCAATAGGAATCGAATGTTTTTTAAACCATTCAAATCGGTTGATCCGTGCGCCCTAAAACGTGACTGGAAATTTGTATCCATACATACATACACACACACAGACACACACACACACATCAATTTTTTCTGAGGTATGCCAAAACGTTCAGAAACCTTCAAAACGTCGATAAATGTAAAAATTTTCAATTCCGATTTTCGGTCCATTACAATAACTTACCCTACGGGAAGTTAATAATTTATTCGTATATTCTGATAAATATTATTATTCAACTCATTTTTTTCCTGATAAATTGTGCAGAAATCTTCTTTCAGTTTAATTCTATATTTGTTTCCGTTCGTACTTTGCCATTTCCTATAGCAATCAGTTGTTCTGAAAACATTTGTGCTGGCGGATCTTGCTCCAATCGCACACGCATATTTATAGTCACCTGACAAAAGTAAAAAGCACCACCGAAAATCTGATCGTTGCCTTTCAAAATTGCATAGTTCTATGTAATGCTTCCAAAGAGTATTTATGTGCCATTGTGCACTCATCCCAAATGATGATTGCACTGTTTTTCAATGCTGCAGCTATTCCACTATTCTTTTTTATATTAAATGTGGCTTTCTCTTTATTGTGTATATCTAATGGCAGCTTGAATGTAGAGTGTGCTGTTCGTCCTCCTTCCAGCAAAGTAGCCGCAATACCAGACGATGCTACTGCCAATGCTATTTTTTTACAATCTTACTTTTGCAAGAATCAATGATATGACAAACGTCTTGCCTGTTCCTCCTGGCGCGTCCAAGAAAAAGAAACCCCCCTGTTTTGCAGCAACGGTCAACATAACCCTATCGTAAAAGAACTTCTGTTCTTCTGTCAGTAACTTCTCATTGTTTTCTATAACGCTTGTTAAATTTTCACAGTCATAATTTTTCTCTTTCTAAATCAATGTTAACAAAATCTGATAGTGGGCGATTTGGTGATTGTAAACCAAAATGATCAAGTTTCAAATTCGCAATTTTAAGACACAAATCTTCCAGCAACACTAATGCTTCATTATAAATCTGCGGTGTATAGTCTACGTTCTGGCTTCGATATATTTTTCTAAACATGTGTAAAATGCCCCCCGACCAGTGGTGTTGTGCTAATATTTTTTTGCAGGAACGCTAAAATTAAAAAACCGGTTCATAAACCGGTTCTCATGTTTGTGCCGGTTCCGTTCGAAAAGGAAAGAAACAAAAATCATTACAAAGCCCATTTTGCGCACATATATGTATGTTTATTACAATAATGGGAACATTTAATAAAAATTTGTTGAATTATAATTTATTAAATTCACTTATTAAATCATTTTCTGTATGAAGCAATTTTTTTAAAATTTGTTTTGCCGGAACGCGTTCCGGCCCAAAAATGATTTGCCGGAACGACGTTCCGGCGCGTTCCGGCTCGACAACACCACTGCCCCCGACATATGGTTTTTGTATTTTTCCCACAAATTTTGTGCGTGCGATGGATAGCACGTTGTTAAAATGATTGCAAATAGTTGCCGAATGTTATTTGGCGTCGAAGTCAAGGAAGCATCCGCAAGAGTTAGGTCCCACTGGTTATCGTCTTCCAATGGCTGCAGCTCTCGACATGCCTCTTTATATGTACCTAATTCTTAGCAATTTACTATTCGCAAAAATTCAAAAGATGTAGGCCTTCGAACGTTGACCAACAGCAGCCTTAAATAAAAACATTCACTCTGCTTCAGATGTACCGTGTAAAGTCTTCCCAATGTATTTGCTTCAAATATGCCATATGCTTTCATGTGGTTCACCCCTTTTTATCGGCTCCCACTGTTTACAGATTTTGTTCCACGTAAAATAACGTAGAATATCAGTACAAATCAATGTTCTTGCAAACTGACCATATATACCAATTTTCTTGCATGGATTAAAAAGTTTTGTCAATGTTGTTTTTGGTCCCTCAAGTGCCCTTTGCTGAAAATTTTGTTCTGTGAAGTACACACGTTGTCCGTTCTCAAGATGAACTGCCAGATGCTGGACAGAAGGGTTTCGTTCATGAATTGGAAAACTAAAAATATGCCAAATAGCTTCGTTGCTGCTAATATATTTACCCATTTGATAATATCTCATCATTTTTATTAATATTTTGTAGGTCAGATATTGCTAAATCATTACCTTTATTGACATACTTACAGATGTGTTTTATAGATTTGACTGAGCTGCAAAGTTCCACATTAAGTTCATATGCTTTTGTAAGTAATGGTGAGTGTGCTACAACCCACCTATTATCAATTTCTACTGGCTCATCAAAGTTACGTAGTCTTATTGTAAAAGTGTGTCCACCATTGTCTTGATCTCTGCGTCGTTACAGCGGATTGCATTAGTTGGTAGCTTCGGAAATTTTTTCTTACATCTGTTGAAAATCCCACACATCCTATGGATCATGTGTTTCGTGACAATATCAAATAATTTTTGATCTGTTGTTTGATCAGGTATTTCTGCTTATATTATTTGATCAATATCTTGTGGTCGTATTTTATCTTCAAGCCAAATTAAAATGTGGGCATGAGGCAATCCACGTTTTTGCCACTCAATCGAGTACAACCAACAATATGTGATACCAAAAACAGAATATTTAACAATGAAGTCAATTAATGATTTCAGCTCCTGTCTAAACACACGCGCAGTTATGTCGTGTGTTTCGTTTGCACTATAGTTATGGTATTTTCTAGAATCCGTCAAGATCTCTTAAACCAAGGGCGAGCAACCTTTTTAACCCACGGGCCAATTTGGTTTTCAAAATTTTATGGCGGGCCGCACGTAATTTAGATATATACTAGCTGACCCGGCAAACGTTTAGTCACAGAAAATATCTTTCGAAAGACATTAGTATTAGAAATGACTAGCTAATTCTGAATGTATAAATATGCGGTATATAAATGAAAGGGGCAGCTAATACAAATTAGCGAAGAAAAGAGTGACATTTCAATAACTCTTTTCTCTCAAAAACAGTTTCATCTTCAGATTTTAATATTAAATTTCTGATTTTTTTTGCTAGAATTGCTCCTTCTGCAAGACATTCAGAAACTATGTACTTCTAATGCACGTCGGGAAATATTTGTACAGTAGCCATTTGGTTGCCAATTTGGTTTGTACAGTAGTAGCCATTTGGTTGCCAATATCTATGAATTGTAAATAGAGAGGAGAAATTTAAGCTCAGAAAAATCTTGATCGAATTTCAATTAAAAACGTTCACAAGAAAGGCGATAATAGTTAATTGATCGATTACCGACCTAAATAAAAGATGATTGGGCTACTTAAATGACTATTATAAAATAATGAAAATTTGGAGTTGTATGTAGTTTTCCATTCCGCATTAGAAAAATTAAAATAAAGAACAAAATAAAAAAAAATGTTACGTTCGGACAACCCATGATAAAAATAAATTATTTTTTTTTTTAAATAAAACTGAACTAAAACTAAGTCAAAAGATTTTTTGACTGAGCGCGGGAATAATGTAAATGCATCAAAATTACAAAATTGGCACAAGAAAAGAACAAATACACATAATTGAAAAAAGTATATATTTTATATAATCACGAGTAAGTGTTTATAAATATAAATACAAAATAAAAACAAATAATAGTTAAACAGAAAAACTAATTTACTTGAAAACTTTAATAAGAAAGTTGGTACTGCTTTTTTATAAGCTGATCAATATCAGCCGCTTTTTTTCAAATTTTGTTCTTTTTTTTAATACGGATAATAGCAACAAGTATGCAGCTTTGATATGTTTTACTCAGTTCTGATAGGTGGTAATTTTTTATGAATTTCATGATTGAAATTAACACAGGTCTACTAAAAAAGTTGTCTGGTTTGGATATGTGACATATGTTTTTCCAATGTACTTTTACCGCTGAAGATAAATCTATAATCAAAATTGAAACACAAAAAATGGAAAAACATTTAAAAGCTAGTACAATCTTCAATCTAGCATTTTTTCTGAATGAATGAATTATTATCCAGCGACTTTTCTTTTGTAGACCTGTGTAACTGTTCGCACACATTCGTACTTCCAAAAAAAATAATTTATCATAATTTGATTTGTTTTTTTTTTCAAAAGCGTGCAATGGATAGCACGTTGTTAAAATGATTGCAAATAGTTGCCGAATGTTATTTGGCGTCGAAGTCAAGGAAGCATCCGCAAGAGTTAGGTCCCACTGGTTATCGTCTTCCAATAGCTGCAGCTCTCGACATGCCTCTTTATATGTACTTAATTCTTAGCAATTTACTATTCGCAAAAATTCAAAAGATGTAGGCCTTCGAACGTTGACCAACAGCAGCCTTAAATAAAAACATTCACTCTGCTTCGGATGTACCGTGTAAAGTCTTC